AAGTAGTAAACCTGATACCTTCCATTTTGAAATTAACAAGTTTATCGAATGTTTGAATAAATTGGATGTTTGGATGTCGTGTAATTATCTGAAGTTAAATCAGTGCAAGTCCCAGTTTATTCCTATAGGCACCTGACAGCAGTTATCAAGGGTTGGTATTAATTCAGTTATAATACAAAATGAAAATGTTCAGTTTTACCATAGGGCTACAAATTTGGGGTGTATTTTTGTCACCAAACTAACTATGAATGATCATATAAAAACAATTGTGAAGACATGTTCATTCCAACTGCAAAGATTGAATCGAGTTAAAAAATCATTGAACAAATCAACATTACAGCCGTTAATGCACGCGTTCGTCCATTTACGTTTGGACTATTGCAATAGCTTGTTTTATGGTTTACCGAACAGATCGATTGTGATGCTTCAGTCCATCCAGAATAGAGCTGCTAAAATTGTTGCAGGTGGTGCTAAATTTGATCGCGTTACGCCAATTTTGAGGAACCTACATTGGCTAACTGTCGATAAAAGGATAATATATAAAATCTGTATGGTAATGTACAAGGTTTTAAATGGATTTACGCCAGAATATTTGACATGCAAGTTCAATAAGAAGAGATCAAATTTGCGTATTGGCACAAGTCTAAGATCTGATGATGTTAATTTGATGGTTGTGCCTGTTTTTCGTTTGCAGATAGGAGCAAGAAATATTGCAATGTCGGGAGCGGTTGTATGGAATGGTTTGCTACGGTCGTTGAGGGTGTGCAATTCAGGAATTGAAAACTTTAGGAAGAATTTGAAGACTCATTTATTTAATCAATAACTGTGAACTGATTTATTTGTGGTTTATTTTATCTACTTTTTCAGCTATTTCTGTTAATTATAGGATAGCGCTTTTGAAAAATTAACACTATTATTTTTAATAAGCGCTTCATAAATTTTAATGATAATAATAATAATAATATACATGTATGTATATGTATAATGTATATATATATATATATATATATATATATATATATATATATATATATATATATATATATATATTGGATTAAGACTGTCAGAATGGCAATTATTGATAAAAATCACTGCATGTTCGGCGTTAGTTAACTTCAATCAATCAATCGATTAGTTTATAAAGCGATGTTCAACAGTGCTCCTCAATGAATTTTGCAAACAGATGGTTTTGAAATCCGCTCTGAACTTCGTAAGTGTTGGAGAAATAGTCAGAGAAGTATGTAGAGAGTTCCAAAGAAAAGGGCCAGAAAAAGCAAATGCAGATTTAGCAAAAGTGTGTTTCACACGAGTTAAAAAAAAAGAAAACAGACGATCCTAAACCGCAGGGCGTTTAGGTTCAATTAATCTATCTAAGTACTTAAGAAATAATTTAGAGTGAGACATATATATAAATGTGCAAATTTAAAAATACCATAATTTTTACAATATTCTATAAATTCTACCGAATGTTTGGCGTTAATATGTTTGTAGTTCGTTTTTTCGATTTTTCTCTTTATTGATTCACTATTTACGATGCTAGTTTTTATTACTTCTTTGTTTTCGTTGTTGGTTAAGCGCC